CTTTATAGATATACGCACCCTGATGTTCACTGTAGCACTATCAACAGCAGCTAAATTATGCAAACAGCCCAAGGGTCCATCAACTGATGACTGGATAAAGGAGATGTGGCTTATGTACAGAATGTAATATTATTCAGCCATAAAAAGAAGGAGATCGTGCCATTTGCAGCAACGTGGATGGAGCTAGAGGGTATAATGCTAAGTGAAGTAAGTCAGAGAAACACAAATACCATATGATTTCACTCACACGTGGAATTTAGGGAACAAAACAAATGAACAAACAAAATAAGAGACAGACCAAAAAAACCCAGACTCTTAAATATAGAAAACAGATGGTTCCCAAAGGGGAGGTGGGTGGGAGGACGGTGAAATATGTGAAGCAAATGAAAAATACACTTATTGGGGCACCTGGGTAGCTCAGTCAGTTAAGCATCGGCTCTTGATTTCAGCATAGGTCATGATCTCACAGCTTGTGAGATTGAGCCCTGCACCAGGCTCTGTGAGGACAGCACGGATTCTGCTTGGGATGCTCTGTCTCCCTTTCTCTCTCTCTCTCTCTCTGGCCCCTCCCCTGCTCACTCTCTCTCTCTCAAAAATATAATAAATAAACATTAAAAAAATACACTTATCATGAAGAGCACTGAATAATGTATTGAATTGTTGAATCACTATATTGCACAACTGAAATTACTTTAACACTATATGTTAAGTACACTGGAATTAAAATTTTCAATAAGACACATTGAGGAAAAAAAGTGCTTTACAGAACATCTTGGGTCATCAACAACTTGCGGCTGTGTCAAAATTATGACAAGGTCTCTTGAATCCTAGAAGAATGTTGGTGACCTTCTATGTGAAAAATAGAGTATGTACAATTCAACTTTTGTTATGAAATTACATCTCTAAAATACAGAGCCACACACATACACACCTGTATACACCAACCACACAAGGGATTACCCCAAGAGAGCACGAGGAGACTTTCCCTTTTTATTTTGTGCTCTTCCTGAACTGTTAATTTGTTACAAGCACATATTTCAGTTATAATTTTAAAAAACTGAATCGGGGTGTTAGGCATTATGGTGCTACAAAAAAGAATGTTCTTTCACTGTGAAAAAGTGATGCCCTCCAATCTCCAACCTAGAAAAATGGAGAAGTCTCTGGACTGGGAACGAATACACAAAATTCAATTTAGGCTTTAGCTTTAGCTTTTACGCAGACTCTGAATGACTCAGAATTGAACACTTATTCTGTTTGTTTTGTGTTTTCCCATTGTTACCGGTATCTTTATCTTGATAAAACTGTTTGTTGGGGAGGCATAATAATTGAGGGAAGAAGGTGACAGCCAGAATTATGAAGACAAAAACTTGGATTAGAAACAAAAGGCCATTTGTACAATTTGCATTTGGGCCACTTGTTCCATATCTACATTTCCATTTCTGGAAGTACTAAAACAGCAATGACAGCCAGCATTTATTGATCATTTACACTCTGTGCTGCAGACTATTCCAAAAGCTTTCCTCCTATTGACTCATTAAATCTTCATTTCAACCCCACGAAGGAACAAAGACAAATTGTCCTAGTGGCCGAGAAAAGAATCTGAACGCAGAACGTCCGGCTTCAGAGCCAAACTTAACTTTTTTTTTTAACGTTTATTCATTTTTGAGACAGAGAGAGAGCATGAACGGGGGAGGGTCAGAGAGAGAGGGAGACACAGAATCTGAAACAGGCTCCAGGCTCTGAGCCATCAGCACAGAGCCCGACGCGGGGCTCGAACTCACGGACCATGAGATCATGACCTGAGCCGAAGTTGGACGCTCAACCGACTGAGCCACCCAGGTGCCCCAAACTTAACTTCTTAAAGTAAAGTACTAGGTTCATGTAAGGCATCATTTCTATGCTCTTTTGGTGATGTCAAAATCAAATTCCACATTGTTTTCATTGGGGGAAAAAAATGCCTATGCTCTACATGAAATGTATTCTAGACTGGGAGTGAACAATATACTGTATCCTACAGAGCCCGCGGTAAGTCCCAGTGATTCTGACACGTCTTCACTCTTCACAGCCTGCAAGTGCTGAAAAGCTCTACTGTATGTAACAAGCTACTTTAATTTTCAGTCCATATAACAATAACGAGTAACAGAAGCTTAATGCTCTGGGTGAGTCCCTAACAGGACTCCTTCTTCACTAGAACTTTAGAAGACAAATGTGATGTGAATTACAGAAATACTTTATTTTTAAATGTTTTTTAACATTTAATTTATTTTTGAGAGAAGACAGAGATGGAGTGTAAGCAGGAGAGGGGCAGAGAGGGAGACACGGAATCCAAAGCAGGCTCCAGGACCTGAGCTGTCAGCACAGAGCCTAAAGCGGGGCTCGAACTCATGAAGTACGACATCACAACCTAAGCCCAAGTCGGATGCTCAACCAACTGAGCCACCAGGCGCCCCCAGAAGCACTTTAAATTTGCTCTTGTGTGCTGGGAGGGAGCTGCCACTATGACCAAATAAGTGCTATTAAAAATATTCATACTTTTGCTCAAATGCTGTAGGTCTCCTGTATTTTAGCTGATTAAATCGGGGTTCATTTGCGGGGTCAGATCTAAACAGGGATGTCAAAACCTTCTCCCTGTTCCTGATGCTCACGGTGTCAGGCGGGTGACTGCAAGGGTACAACTAAATATTTCTGGCAGGAATGTGAAATAGAAACCCCAGTTTGGGGAGGAGGGAGGAAGCTGGCAGGAAAATGTTCTTATAATGGATGATGCAGTGTACCATCTGTGTCTGGAGGTATTTAAGAGTTTTATTTGGACTTCACATCTGACATCATGATTTTTAAAAAGAAGTAGAAACAAACATGTTATTAGTTACTTAAGACTGCTTCAGTCCACGTATCATTTTAATCCTATTTACTCTAAAATGACCCCTCTGTACATTTACTAGGCTTGATTCTAAAAGGCAAAAACCCCACACATCGGCTGTCATTGCCATGTTCATTTTTTTTCTTCTATGATAAGCTATCTCTTCGCATAGAACGTTTACTAGAAACTAACATTAATTCAGGTTTGAGAGTGAAAACCTAGGAACACATAAAAGTAATCTATTTCAGCCTATTTTAATCATTACTCTTTTGACTGTAAAGGGAAACAAAGAATTAAAAATTTTTGTTAATGGTTTACTTACAATTCAGTCTATAATACATGTTTTCATATCAAATTAAATGCACAGTGCATTTGAAGCATTAACATTCATTTTACCTGAAGCATTAGAGTAGAGAGTATGGGTTTTTTTTAATTTCTTTTTTAATGTTTTATTTCTTTTTGAGAGAGAGAGAGAGAGAGAGAGAGAGAGAGACATAGTGTGAGCAAGGGAGAGGCAGAGAGAGAGAGGGAGACCCAGAATCTGAAGCAGGCTCCAGGCTCCAAGCTGTCAGCACAGAGCCCGATGCGGGGCTCGAACCCACAAACTGCATGATCATGACCTAAGCTGAAGCTGGACGCTCTATCGACTGACCTACCCAGGCGTCCCGAGAGTGTGTTTTTAGTAGCTTTCCAAACCTCAAATAGAGTTCAGCGTGTCAACAAAAGAAGCCACACGGGACACACACGATTAGCACCATCACCAATGACAATAAAGGCTTATTCCCGCAGTGAATACAGAGGCAGCCTTACAGGATGGGTGCCCTTCTGTTCCCATTTTACAAATAAAGGGTAAAGAAGGGTGACTCTGTCTCCCCAGATCATGCTGGTGTGAGAGAGCTGGAAAACCAGGAACAGAACCCTGTCCTATGATGATAAGATGCACAATTAGAGACACATGGCAAAGGGAAGTCCTTCTAACGAGGCCTGCTGGGAAATATCGTATGTCCTAAAGCCTTCTGGGGTAATTTCTCAATTAGTTTCAATTTAAAGAAAAGCCGGGGTGAGCAGGAATCCCCCTGAAGAGAGGAGAGGAAAGACAAAAATGTAAGCACCTATCAAAATGAACCACGGGAAAGGCTCTCTTCTCTGAGTTCGGGCTGCGGACGCCCTTATCAGAGCGGCCTTTCTGGACCACCCCATTTCCAAGAGCTCCCCCCAACCCCAAGCCCCGGCCCCAACCATCTCCACTCGCTATCCCTATAACTGGAGTTCTTTTCTTCATAGCATGGATCATCACCTGACATCCTGCAGGTCTACTGTTTATTGCCTGTGCCCTCAACAGGAAAGTAAGCATTGTGACCACAGAAGCCTCTAACTGTGCTTGGAATGGAGTAGGAATTCAATCATTACTTGCTGAATTAGCAAGTGAATTCATGGAATCGCTCTCCCTTGGTAGAAGTTTTTAAGCTTTTTTTTTTTTTTTTTAATGTTTGTTTATTTGAGAGAGAGAGAGAACACGCATGCGCGTGATGGGGAGGTGGGGCGGGAGACAGAGAGAGGGAGACCCAGAATCCCAAGCAGGCTCCAGACTCTGAGCTGTCAGCACAGAGCCCGATGTGCAGCTCAAACCCACAAACACGAGATCATGACCTGAGCCAAAGTGGGACACTTAACCGACAGCCACCTAGGCGCTCCATACCTTGGTAAAAGTTTTAATGAGAAACATTTTATGCCAGTATGTGTCATTGATCACATACAGGTAACTATGATTACAAACCGTGGGACTTTTTCAGGCTGTCCTGTATAAAACGAGCAAGTAAGTAACTAGAAGATGTCGTAGCAAACCGGTGCGTCCCAGAAGATAGCCACTAGGCCAGCCAACGCTAGCTTGCTTTTCTGCTCCCGGCCACAGTCCTCAGCCAGAGGCCAGTGAAACCATCAGACAACGAGAATCAGCAGAGCTGTTTCTGGGTTTTGATTCTTGCTGCTTATGGGTGTTCCTGCTACGCACTACCATTCTAAAGCTCTCTCCACGGTTCCAAAAAAAATGGTTCCAGCAATTAAAAAGACCCATACCTCCTGGAAGTACATTATTATTCCCACCCTCCCTCCTCCCTGGCTCCCTCAGAAACCCACCTACCTGTGACTTTACCCAGACTCATTCTTGGGAAGTCAGGGTTCCTCAGCTCCTCTGTACTTGCGGACTTCATGACTGAGTTGATCGAGGACAGGGTGCTAATGAGCTGCGAGTTCAGAGAGCCGATCTGCGAGTGAGGCTCCCCAAAAGCCTCTGCCAGTTCGCTGTAGTTCTCAGCCAGCAGTGTCTGCTGCTCAGCCAGCAACTTCTGGACACGCTCAATGTAGTGATCCAAGCCGGTCACCATTCCGGCAGGAGCCTGGGGCAGGGGGCTCTCCGCGAACTCGCCAACAGGCCCATCTCCTACGCCGACGCTCCTCCTGCTGGCTGCCAGCCCCAGAGTCAACTGCGGAGGGCCACAGGCGATGGTCCTCATTTTGAGACCAACCAGGTAATTGTCATTAATATTTATCTGCCCCACGCCTGACTCTCTGGTCTTCACGGCCGACGGCCTGTCAAACCCAGAAGTGCCAGAGAGCACGGTTCCAACTCCGATGGACCGTGTGTTGGTGGAGGAATTGACATCCTTCACGCGGCCTTCTCCTACGGCCACCGTCCGCATCTCCACGGTCTGAGTGCTGGTCTGCTTGTCCAAAGTGCTGAGGGAAGTGCTGGTGCAGGATTCTGCAAGGGTAACCACCTTGGTGTTGGTGCCCCGGTCCACCTGCTCCCAAACCGTACTGGTGTGCTGGCTCGCGGTACGAGGCACCACCATGACAGCAGCCTCCACCAGGCCAGCGGCCTCTGTGTTCACGCTCCGGGACGTGAGCTCCTTCGGGGGGCAGACAGTCACGTCAACGGAACAATCCCCGCAGCCGACGGATCGCACTTCTTTGAGATTCAGGTTGGTCTTGAGGAGCGACAGGTCGTGCACGGACTCCTCCGTGTTGCTGCCCGTTTCGCAGACGCTGATTTCCACACCCACGCTCTTGTCGCACGTCTCCACGGACCTCCCAGTACCCTGCTCGTGCGTTTCCACCCTCTCCTTGACAATCCACCAATTCATGGGCAGCTCGGGCCCCACGAGCCTGCTCTCACAACGGGGCCGGCAGGAGACGCCCAGGCTGTGCATCTGCACGGCGCTCCCGACACAGGCATCCGCCAGGTCCACGTGATGGCCAGCCGTCTGGTCTCTGGTGGCCACCACCGCCTCCACCATCTTGCTGAGAACCAGCGGCTGGGCCGTCACGGCTTTGTCCGCCTTCTTCCTCGACCCCGCGGCCTGCAGCTCTTGCTTGAGTCTAGTCATCTCGCGGTCATGGGTGGTTTCTTTCAGTTGCACTTCCAGGCGGTAGATCTTCTCCTTCAAGGCCTCTATGGTCTGCTGCTGCAGCTCTATTTCCTTGTCCGCTTCCGTGGTCACGCCAAGCATGGCCTCTGTCACGCCGACCCCACAGTTCCTTGACTCGGTGGCCGTCCCGACGGCGGCATCCTTCCGGGACGCGGAGCCCCTGCGGTACACGACCACGCGGTCCATGGTCTCGTCGGCACCCACAGCCACGGACCGGCACTCCCCGTCCCCCCGGGGCCCCGAGGAGGCCTCGCAGCTGCTGTCCTGGATCTTCCGCTCCAGGGCCTGCATGTCTGCCGCGAGCTGCCGGAACTCCCTGATGCTCTGCGCGCTCTGTTCCACGCGTTCCATCTCGTCCTCCTCGTAGTCGATGTACAGTTCACCTCCGCCGCTACTGCGCCGGGCCCCGGAGAGCCGCTCCAGCTGCGACGCGTTCCCCGCACTGTAGGACCGCTTCCTCACACCGCACGCGTCGGCCTGGGCTGTCGCTCTCTGGTGTTTCAGCTGCGAGGCCAACTGTCTTTTCTCCTCTTGCAAGACGGAGATCTTCACCTGGAGCACGGGGATGGTTCGCACCTGCTCCTCGAGCTCCTTCAGGCGCTTCAGGGCAATGGCCATCTGCTCGCGGATGTGCTGCAGGTGCATGGGGCTCACGTTGGTCACTGGCGTGGAGATCCCTGAGCTCAGGGGGCTGTGGCGGATGGAGCTCCCCATGGACGACGTGGTGGCCACGGCTGGGGCACAGCCGCTGTACTCGCCGTTGCCTTGGTATCCATTCTGAAGTTGGTGCGCGGCAGGATTGTGGTTTCCGGAACCCATGAAGGAGGAGAGCGAGCTCGTGGAGCCCATGCCTCCAAAACTGGCCAGCCTGGGCCTGCGGAACTCACCCGGGGCCACCTGCATGGTGACTCTCTCCTGTTCCAGTCTCCTCCGGGTCTCCATCAGCGTCTTGGTGACATGAAGGTTGTGCTTTGGGAGTTGAGGGGAGGGCGGTGGCAGCTGTCGACTTTCTGGGACGGTAAGGAAAGGGGGTGAGGTCTCCAGAGGGGCAGGGGGCCTTGGGATGGGAGTCGACGTAACGTGGCTTCTGGCTACCAGGAAGTGAGGACACTGCCTGTTGTCATCACTGTTGGAGGACGAGAGGGATTCCGTGGAAGTCCACACAGCCTGCTGACCGGGCACGGCCCTGCTTTCCGGGCATGGCACCGACGGCTTTCGCCTCTTCTGGATGTTGAGTTTCTTGATGGTGTTTCCTTTCTGTATGTCGTCCACGTACTTGAGGAAGTCTAAGTCCAGCTGATAACCATAGGGGGTCTCCACAAAGTAAGGATCTTTCTGTTCCTTGTCAGGATCTCCGTTCAGAACATCATCTGTTTTTCCTAGGAGAGCGAGAAGGGAGTATTATAATGCCATGTGATACACTCAGTGATAAAAACCAGTATCTGTATATTCGGCAGTGTGGCAAACTAGTGTGATTTCAGAGTTGACGGACTTCTGTCTGTTCTGATCCTGGATCTACAACCTGACAGTTGGGTGAGTAAGCGAGTATACCCCTGGGAACTTCAGCTTCTCCCTGAGTAAAAATGGAAACGACAAGTATATTTACCTCATAAGGTTGGTAAAGAATGTAATGAGACTGTGGTTTTAAGGATCCCAGGGTATATGAAGTGCTTACCAACTACTTTTATTTTTGGAAAGAACATATTGAAAAGACTTGTGTTTTCAGGGAGATCATTTCTTTTGTTGTCTACAGGCCATTGAGGTATAGAGAACAGTCCTTAAGCCTCCTATTTTCGGGGTGCCTGTGTGGCCCAGTTGGTTAAGCGTCTGACTTCGGCTCAGGCCCTGATCTCACGGCTGGTGAGTTTGAGCCCTGTGTGGGGCTCTGTGCTGACAGCTTGGAGCCTGGACCTGCTTCGGGTTCTGTGTGTGTGTGTGTGTGTGTGTGTGTGTGTGTGTGTGTGTGTGTGTCTCACAAATAAAGACATTAAAAAACAATTTTTTTTTAAAGACTCCTATTTTATAAAGTGAACTATGAGGCACCAAAGGTGAAAACGCTTAGAATAAAGGACCACATCGGTGCAGATCCAGGAAGCCCGGGACGTGAGTTCTCCCCACCACTGGTCTTTTGCAGACACTGCAGCCTTTCTAAATGGTGGCCGAAAGCACCCCAGGGCCTGACCACCACCACAAGATCACAATTTGCCTTGACCCTTTCCTTGCTGAGAAAGCCGGGGGCAATGAGTGATTAACTCTAGCAGCATGTGTGTAAGAACACAGAAGGCAGACTTCAACTCTTCGTGCCTTCCCATTTAAAAACCACCACCACCACCACCACCACCACCCCTGTCCCAAACGGAGAACTCTTCTCTCTTGGATTTCTTTTGGACAAAACATTCGATCTCCCAAGAACACCTCCTTTTGTATTTGTAACACGTCCAAACAGATGCAGAAGAGAACGAAAATAAAAGCAAACCTATACTCTAAACACTGGATCATGTGGCATTCAGTAAATGCTAACTTGGGGCTAAACCAAACATTTAGAAAAGGAAACACAAGAACTTTTCAAGGCACAGACCTTGCTGCTGACCTGAGCTGTGCATTTCAAACAGAAAAGCAAGGCCGTTTTTGTTTGTTTAAATTGCAGGATTAAGTAATGTGTTTTCCTAGAGTCATAATAACAAACTCTGCTTTTTTTTTCTTTCTTTTTTTGAGCAGTGGAAAGATCCCAAAACCAATGAGTGAAAATGCAAGCCATGTGTACCCCTGCTCCTATCCTGGGTGTAAAAACCCACATTGCCGGACAAGCATTTCCAGTTCACTTTATAAAATTTGGGTTGCCTGCCTGTCCTTCCTAGTCCAATCACTGCTGGGCATTTGCACCTGATAGGGTGAAGGCACTGAGTAAACCTTTTGCCTCCTCTTTCCTCTGAAAAGTTGGAAAGAAAAGTACGAAAAGACTGCCAAGCAGTGGAGTAGAAAGGTTATGTATTCTTCGTGTCCTGATTTAAAACAATATTAGGCTGTTCTCCCTGTTCGTATTTAGACACTGGATTTCATTTCTAAAACGTGGAAATTCTACTGGAACCAGGTGCTCAACTTTAATCCTTTTCTAACCTCGGGGTGAGCTGATGAGGAGCCGGCACCCGAATACTTGGGCTCACGCTAGCAGAATGCTTCCTTCCTTCCCTCTTTCTTTCCTTTCTAACTCCACACGGGCAACACGCTCGCTCAAAATATGCAGCCCGACCTGTTTCCAGAACTGTCTGCGATTCCACAAGCAGAGAGAAGCCGCCGGCTCGGGTGTCCAGAAAAAGCAGGCAGATCTGACCAACGGGATCCGGCGATTCTAAAACCGGGCCACCGCTCCTGCAGGCCACGGGGAGCGGGTGCCCAGGCCGGAGACTGAGCCCCGCGCGCGCATGCCCGCCGCGCTCCGCTCCCCGCCGGGCCCGCTCGCCTGCTCGCCGCCCCGCCACCAGGTGCCCGCGGCGCGCCGCGCTCCCCGCCGGCCTGTCTGCCTGCTTTTTCTG